TTTTTTTTTTTTGTCAAGGTTTCGCCGCTAGTGGCTTCGGCCCGCGGCCGGCGCCAAAACGCCACGCGCGAGAAAAAAACGTCTGCAGCTGAGTATACTTTAAATGAACGAAAATCAACACGAAGGAGTCATATTAGAGATATTTAGTCATAGTAGAGCAGGCTGGTTATGCGGAAAACATCAAAGATAACAACAACAGTGCTGCAGTTTAAGTTCGGAGCTCACTGACTGTGCGCATTCCTTTTGTTTTTTGTTTGCAAATTGTGACGAAATAAATTGACGCGACGTTTTAATTGGTCAGTGAGGTCAAAATTATAAGGGTGCTATTGAACATTGTGCACCGTCAAGTCCACAAAAACAAATATAACAAAGGAGTCCAACGGGGTTCTTGACCATTCCATTCTGTTAAGCATAAGGCCCCTTCATATGCTAATGATAAACTATTCGTGTATTTAGGGTGGATTTCGATAAGGGAGGAGGGAGGCTTGGAACCCCTATCCCTTCCCACTCTTTATAATTAATCATAATAAATAATTAAATAAAATAAAAATCTGTGCGTGATGAGAATTATCTGAGCATTTTAGTGACTTTTTTGGGGGAGACTGAGTACCCGAGTATTTTAGTGGTAAACATTTCACTGGGGATAAAAGCATAGCCTCAAATAAGTTAACCCTTAGTAGATACAACCAGGGGTCAAATTAACAACACTTAACAAGTGTAATTTACAAGTGTAGCTATTGTTTTCAGACTCTTAAACAATGGCTACACTTGTAAATTACACTTGTAAAACTATTATTACAGCGGTTTTCACTTGACTGTCGAAAGTAATTGAGGAATTGGTTTGGTTTTGGTTTTACTACGCCCTTTGGTTGGCTAGTGTATTTACTTTGGTTTTGGTTTTACGACAGTCAAGTGAAAACCGCTCTAATTGAATCAAATTGACCCCGGCAGACCGTTTTGAACAGAAAGAAACATGCACAAGCCTTAATTCTCGTTCTAAACGATAATTTTCTTGTCGATTAAAATTCCATTTTGCGCTGAAATGTGACAATTAATCGGGCCAAAGAAAGAAAGAAGAAAAACTAACAGCTACGCCGTGACTCTTGGACGTTGATATAGAGTTTTGGAGAACCCCGATTGCCCTGTTGTCCGTTAATGACCCCTCGTTAATAATTCTTCCGATCACTTTCATTTGGTTTTAAACCGTTTTGGTTTGATCAAGAGAATGTTTTCTTGGTTTTATCTAATAAAAAAAAACTTTTTCCGAATTCTTTGACATATTTGGATCGATAGTTTGTCATTTTTTTTATCATTTATAGCATTGAACAAATCAGAATTCTTTCTCCTTGAAAGCTTGACGACTAAATCATCTTTCTTTACTTCTCATTTATAGCGGAAAACATCTTTGAAATATTTGTTAAGCACAACTTTTAAACATTCTCGGCTACAGAACAAAGCGTTGTTCACGTCCTTTGAACGAAGAAAAGCAACTGGGTACATTTCTTCGATTCCTATAATAATAGATTATTAGCATATGACTCATATGGAGTGGCCTAATATGCTAAACCTCTCTATTGGACTACTTTATACGTTTTGCACGAAGGGAGCAAAAACCAAGGTGAGTCGCTTATTTTTTCCCTTATCTACTACCTGAGAAATTTCTGCAATTTGATTGGCCTAGAGCAGTGGTATTTCAGCTTAATTTGAAATACCTATATGTGAAAATTACAAAACCTTTGTGGGTAGTAGTATAAACAAATAATAGCATGATTTGTACGTGATATGTGGCATAAATACCACTCGTGATATTTCAAAATTGTCTCAAATTTCACGAGCCGTTAGGCGAGTGAAATTACGTATCTCAATTTCGAAATATCGCTCGTGGTATTTATGCCAAATATTACAACAAATCATGCTATTACCTATACGTGTCCCTTTTAACCCCCGCAGAAGAAAAAAAAACTGTGGTTATGCGATCATTCATCTCCTGTTTCGATCGTTTTGTTGATGGCGCGAACTGGTGTAAGTAATACAGTAGAACTTCGATGACTCTTGAACGCAGTCAACTCGAATTGCCCACTAATTCGATCTAAATTTGCTTTCCCTTGATCAAAGTTTCACTGAAATTTACCCCGGTAACTAGAATTCCCGGCTTTCTCGAACTGTGTTTCTTCTCCCGTCAGAGTTCGAGTTCCCGAGGTTCAAGCTGTAGCTACTGAAACCTCTCTGTAAGGAAGATAACACTGTCCTTAGTGCAAATTGTTATGGCCCACTTTGTGCACTTGAAGATCATTAGAACTTAAGTTACCAAATAAACAAAAGTTAAAGGATAGAATAAAACTAATTGCATATTTTTTACTGCATGATAATCATTTAGTAATGGCATGCCCATAGTTTGCATGCTTGCAATGCCGTCTCCAGGGTTACTTTGCTCTAAGAACTCATATCTAAAGGAATTAATCTAAGCAATTTCCATAGATTATAAGTAATTCTTCTAAATTTATTTCTGTTTGAGTGTTTGCCTCAGAAAGCATTTGTATCAGAGGAATAACATGTAGTTACAGTTATGTTAACTGTTTATAAACGCTGCAGAAATTAACGAGGTTAGTGAGAATGACTTAAAGATCCAACGACACAACGGCAATGAGAACGTCGCTTAAAAAGTGAATTTGCGTTCTTTCAGTCTTTATAGCAATTATTCCTACCCACTTACTTTGTCAAATGTATGCGAACCCTCCTGAAGTTGAATTCCTAGGGACCATATCCAAGTACAGAAAGAGAAATTAAATTTCGTCGTTACTTGTTTACGTCCTCCACAAAACGCGAAATTAGGCATTTTCACGTCGTAGTCGTGCAAAAACGGGCAGAGAAATGTACAAAAAAGCGTGGTGCACGTGCAAAGTTGTTGTTTTGCTTATAAACCTATTTGACGTTCTTGTTGCTGTCTGCGTCGTTGGATCTTAAAGTCCCTAATAGGCTGATTTAGCAACACGACTGGGCGTGACTTGACGACGGGACAGTGCACTGAAACAGGAGCAGTGCACTGAAACAGGAGCCCATCAAATGGGCTCCTGACTGAAACGACTAAACACGACTTCCGGCGCCCATTTTGCCGCTCTGCCATTGGTCAAGCCAGTTCTTTAATTTGCGCGCGCCGTCGTCAACTGACGTTCCCGTTCTGTTGCTAAATCAGCTTTTTCGTGAAAGACGTAGACAAAAATATAGAACAGGTTATGATATTTTCTAAGGCAACTGTCAAAGGGTCGGGAGATACAGCTCCTAACAACATGTCCGCAAACCGCCCGGTCATATTTGAACAAGAAAAAAATAGACTTTTATTTTCGGAGCTCTCTCCAGCGTAATAAATTAAGAGAAGAATGATATAAGGGAGTTTCGTGCGACGATATCTGACAGCTTCATATAAGATAGGGCTGCACTACACCTAAGCAATACAGTCGACTCCCGACAACTCGAACCTTCAAGGGTAATCGAAATAAGTTCGCGAGTTATAGGGAGTTCGAGTTATCGGGAGCTCGAAGAAAATAACCGCGAGTAAGGAAAAAAACAGTTTTTACTACACAGTAAACGTTTTAATCGCATTTAATTGTAGTGAAAATTAAAAGATGATACTTCTAGATGGTAAATCAGAACGTAAAGTAACAAAACATTGCCTAAATAGAACATTCGTTTTGCTGTTTCGAGAAGTAAAGCTGTTTCACGTTAGATTTGTGACAAACAACATCAGCCTCCACCAGCCAGTAAACTATATGCCTACAACACGTCAATGGGAAATTCATAATTCAATGTTTCGGNAGGGGGGGGGGGGGGGGGGGGGGGGGGGGGCGGTGATGCGGCTTATGAAGCAGGAGACAGAGACCTGGAGACCGTGTGAAAGCGTAAGTGCTCAAAAATCTGCCCAAAAGAAATGGTGAAGGGAAAAATCACACTTTTTCCTCTAATTTTAGGAAGTATGCTGCAAATTCCAGGACTACCCTGGAAAAAGGGAAAAGCTTGCCTGATCATCATCATCTAGCTTGTGTACGCCTGTGTACAGACGTTTCCCCCTCCCTCCCGATTTTTTCTAAGGGAGGGGGGACGTCTGTACACAGGCTATCATCATCATGATCTTCTTCTTCTTCTTCTTCTTCTTCTTCCTTCGTTTCTTTTTGTCCTTATTGAGCCACTTCTGAAACCTTTGCGTCTTGACTGATTGAGATACATTTTATATAGCTCTCTCTCCCAAGCTCGGAGAGGCTAAGCATCTTAGGCTTAGGAAAGGGGGAATTTTAAGTTGCGCGCGGGGAATGATAAGATTGGGGAAAGGAAAGAACTTTTGCCTCTTTACGACCTAACCACCCATTTTCTTCTCCCCTCCCTTTATCGCGTTCGCTTATTTTTACCATAAATCATCTGCGAAGAAAAGATCTGTTATCCAAAGAATGCCTTAAGTGCATTCAGCAGTTGTTAAGTCCTACTTTCGTCTTTCAGCAAAATTAGTTACCAAGATGTTAAGATACGTTAATGGAGATAAGCAGTACCAATCACATGATCTTACCGTGGACGTGGGACCTGGGCACGTTTACAGCAAGACTGGTCAGCTGAGATTTCGCGCGTGGACAAACAAGGGCAAGATAATCAGGTTAAAGAGCTTTGTCACTAATATAAAACAATACTTTAAATTCAATACCATGCAGTGCACTAAAATGTAATGTACGATACACTAGAAATCTGTACAATAAAGTATCATGCGCAATCGTTTATTTACAGCCCACGTGCTACAATAATTATAACATAGGCGCGTTTAACGTGCTTGAGCTAATTTGAATGCTTCAGTGTAATCGTATCAAAAATCTACTGTTTGAAGACTAAGACTATGTTTTGAGCGAAATTGGGTATTGCTGTACATTAATGAAAACGCGAACCGCTGCGCAAAGCAGAGTCGATCCTCATACTACAGATTCACTTTTCTTTGTCTTTCCTTGCAATAAACAAGTTGTTAAAGTCCTATGAATATCAACTCACCAAACGTTGCTTAGAGGGAAGACTCGAAGGTTTCAAGGTTTCTTCATGGTTTCTTAAGATAATGCAGTTCCTCGAATACCGAATAGCTAAGAAATGGGTTTTGGAATCTGGAATACAGCTCAAGGAATCCGGAATCCCATTTACGATTGGAATCCAGAATCCAACTTTCACTCACAAAGTCCGGAATCCAGTACCAGGAATCCGGAATCGACAGCTTGGAATCCAAAATCCAAAACTGTCTTGGATTCTCTTACATGGGGCAAAAAATTAACCACATGGGTTTTTCTCATTCTTTGTTGAATTGTTGGTTGGCGATGCCATCGTGACCTGAATAATGTAACTTCAGTCAATAAGCACTAAGACTGCAAACTGATGGTTAGAACTGCTTGTGTCTGAACGAATATTGCTATATTTCAGTTTTTTCCAATTACAGACCGCATTCGTATACCTCCATTCTTTTGACTCCATCTTATCGAGTTACCGAGCGAGAAACGGTTCAAGGTGTCGCCAAAGCGGCTGTAAGAGATTTTGCCAGGCTTGTCCAGGAAGGCGTCTGTAAAGAGGGTCAAATACTTCTTCTGATGGCTGACGGAACACACAAAAATAAATCCAACACAAGTATGACAGGACCTTGGTTTCTTGATTACGAGAATGAAGAAGAAATCGCGGTACTACTGAAAAGGTATGGCCAAAGCCTAGAGCGGAAAGGCTTTCTTATTTTATCTTGGTAGGGACGTGCCACCTGAGGCGACGATGACATCGATGTGTTTGATGTCAAACGCCTGTTTTACTTTCCCTCCTCATCGCGCTAGAACTCAAAGAGTAAGTATTTCCCAGAAATTTATGTACTAAACTAACAGTAATCAGGAATTAGTAAGTGCGTTCGAATGTTTTATCTTTGCAATTGCGGCTGCAGACGATGTTACCAAGGTGGAGATTTTTGTATGATTCAGTGAACTTTGGGGACGAATTTAATCAGGGAGGTAGATTTGGTAGATTTCGTAGATTTTCCGTATACCGAAGTATCGTGCACCAATCTTTGTATTAGGGCTTTGGGCTATGTCGCTTGAGACGATATCATGCCATCCCAGGAACTTATGACATAAAATTCTCACTTATAAAGAAGTAAGGAAATACAACATTTACGTGAACTAATTCTAACTTAGGTCCAACTAAAGTTACTTTACGGCCTGTAAAACCGGGGCCTTGTACCTCTGTAAATTCGTATACGTAAGCGTATATCAGCAACATTCTGAGCTGGTGGCGGGCTTAAAGCTGGAAATTGCCCTAGGACGCCCCTGAAAACCTTGCAAACTTTGACAAGTTTTCAAAAAACCTCTTATTTAGTTGAAAGCTGACTTTTTCCTAAGATTAACGTTTTCTTTCATTATTTTGTTACTCCACTTGTAGATGTAAGATGGCCTTTGCAACTTTGGTTACCGAGGACAGCGACATTTTTACTACGTGTCCCGGAAAGACAGACGTCCGAGGGAAAGGATCGCAGTTTGAGGCAGCTTTTAATTTTATTCGCCATTATGCTATTCCGGACGACGGCAAAGACAACACTCACATTGTTTGCATTGATTCTGATTTGAAAGGTTAGATAAATTAACAAAACGTGAAGACTAAAAGAAGAAGCTTTGCGTCACTCGAAAAGACCATTACATCGGGGGGAGAGGGGGGAATGAGTACTGGGGCTGAGCAAATTCATGAATACCCTTGGGTACAAGAGGTTTTTGCTCGCGTGCGGCGGAGATGTTTCGAAGTCGGCCGTAGGCCGACACTTCTTAGCCATCAGCGGCGAAGCGATTTCACGTTAAGTTGATTGTGCACCGTCAAGTTCACAAAAGCAAAGGAGCTTTTTGCGCGGGTAAAGACCTTGACAGAAACTGGAAACCAAGCCTGAAAAGCCTCTGCAACCCAGGATTTTTATGAACCAAAAAGTTCAAATTCAGCAAAACAAAGTTGAGAATCTTAAAGCTGCCAGGAGGCAAACCAGTTGACCATTTACATGTGAAACTAAGGAGATGAACTGTCGGACTACTTAATAGAGCTCTAGCTAGCGGATAGCACTGAACTCCGTCGCCAGTTTTGTTATCATTCTGTTCTGTCTGCTCGGTAACGATGCTTAACTTCCTGCTTCCATTTTCAGCGATATTTTAAGCATCTTTTATATCCTCAGTGGTTGTTTTAGGTTTCCTAGCTACTGAAGCTTTTTTTTTTTGTATTTTCACAGGTACAGATGGTTTTGTTTATCGTATGTTTCTTGGATTGAATAAGGGCTATTCTTACCTTGCTCCATTTTACTGGCGACATAAGTACGAAGGCAGGGTCACGAACCATCTCATGTTTCCTCTTTATTCATCCATAACCCGTTCTGCCCTCCGCCAACCAATTGGCGGAGAATTTGCATTCAATGGAACCATGCTCGTTCGGTTCACCAACCCTGAGAGCTGGACCAAAAGTTGGAGAGATTTTGGTATCGACGCAGCGATGAGTGTCATTGCAGCAAGAAGTGGGGATTCCATAGGGCAGCTTCATCTTCCAAGGAAGATTAATTACGTTGGAGACGACGCTAGGAGGCAAATCGGTGACATGTTTGTCCAGGAAGGAAGAAGTCTCTTCAATGGCTTGATAGACATGTTGGATTCGACCCCTTCCTGGGGAGAAAGCGAAGTTACAATTGCGCCCGTTGTTGAGACAGAAGCCGTTCATAATACCAACCTGAAAGTTGATCTGTCGGAGAATGCTGAGATTATCGCTGCTCTTCACTCATTTTTGACACTATACATGAGCCCTGCCTTTCAGCAGAACAATGAGACGATCTTAGGTGAATGTTTATCTGATCGTATCAAAGCGACCTTTGAAGAATTTAAGGGTAATGGTCTGTGTAATGTGCTGGCGTGGAACAGACCGAAACAAATGCCTCGGGACGAACAAGCCAAGGTCATCGATCAGTTGCAGAGTATAAAAAGCAAATTTTTCCTCAACTCTAATGAATGGTCTCAAATACTATTCAGATGTTTCAAGGAGTTCCAAGTCAAACGAAGTGACAACGAGCTGCAAGCTTCCCAGACCGTAATCCGAGGGGTGCTTTTGTGCGTGTTTTACTTGAGGGTGCTAAGCTTTAACATTGAGACGTCAGGTCTACCAACCTATCCTGATGCCGAGGAACTAGTCATGCAACAAATGAAAGTGTTTTCGCGTACCGCNTTCCAAGTCAAACGAAGTGACAACGAGCTGCAAGCTTCCCAGACCGTAATCCGAGGGGTGCTTTTGTGCGTGTTTTACTTGAGGGTGCTAAGCTTTAACATTGAGACGTCAGGTCTACCAACCTATCCTGATGCCGAGGAACTAGTCATGCAACAAATGAAAGTGTTTTCGCGTACCGCCTTAGCATATCTTAAGGACAGAAATAACGATCAAGAGAAGGTTGCGAATGGAACACTATGAAAAATTGTTCAGATCTCTCTATGAACTATCATAATTCCCAGTTATTAATTCAGTGAAGCCTTAATGAGATTACGAAATAAGCAAAAGAAAGCCTCGAGTAAGCCTTTGAGTAAGCCAAAAAAAAGAAAAAGACCATAGTGCTCGCAGAGTTATTATCCACTCAGATACAAGTTTACTTTTTTCACACTATTTAGAGATGATAACACATGGTCACGAGGATATTGGCGTTTTAAGTCAACTCTGTGCTAAATTCCATACTTGGTGCCTTTACGCTTCTTACACAAAATCCTTGTGTAAAGTTACCAGAAAGATATGAAAGAAAATTCATCAGGGATAAGGTGTTGGTGATTTTTAAAGGCATTGCTCTGTCCATTCTTGCCAGCCCCAGCCGTAGTAACAGACGACAGGAAACATTTTTGTTTCAATACCTAAACAAATCTAAAATACGGGACCATTATTGTTGAAATTCAGTCCATAGGACTTCATCTTTTAGCTTTTTAAAATGAAATCAAATAGCATGACATAGCTAGGTGCTTCATTAAACCTGGTTATTTCTACAGCTTGAAGCACGTGCTACTCCCCTGGATGGAAAGGATTAACATCCCCCGGCAAAAATTGCAATCTCAGACCAAAGACCTTGAAATTGCCGCTTCCATTGGAAGCTCCCTTTCCTTGTCCCCCACCCCTTTTGTACGTTTCGATATGTTGTCAGTAGCCATGCTTGTAACTTTGTATTTACAATCACTTTTTAACCTTGCAAAGGAAAAGGGAAATACACGGGTGTTTCGACTATGTTTTTGCTACGCCAGGATTTTGTGAGGTGAAAAATGGCCAACTGCTATGATGTCCTGAGTTGGCGGCATGCTTGAAATATGGCAAGCGTCTATAGTCAAACGTTTCAAATTTCTGTGCAAAAATACCCCATTTTACATAAAACTTATCTATGGATTGTCGCTTATCAGTATATTTGCCAAGACACGTGACATGTTTTACTCAATTTACACATAGGCATGATTAAAACATTATTGCTGTTATTGTAGTTGTCGTTAATGTTGTTAAGTCCTTGCTAGGAGAAGGCATAGAAAAAAAAGAAAAAAATTCGAATAAAGTTTCACTAGGTATTCCCATTTTGACCTTATAAGGCAAACATGAGTCACGTGACTTAGATTTTACAGAACAAGTTTATCAAATGGATGCAAGTGTTGAAAGCAAACTACTTGGCAAGTTTCCTGACTGAGATTAAAGACGTACGAAGTTAAACTAAGCCTTAATACACACGAGCGGATAGAATTTCATTCACGAAACATTTTTTGATTTGCAAAGCTTACTTTAATTTATTCGCTGTTTCTTTGAGCTGGTATATGCAAAATGAAAAACAATGATCTTAACACCGCTATCTTCACGTGCCAGTCCATGAGATCACCATTGTAGCAGTGTGATCTGATTGGTTTAAATATAGTCCGATGATTGATCAAAGGTCAAATGGAATGGTGCTGGGTGCCAGAGATTCTTTTCTCTTGGGTTTGGCCTTTCGTGGCTTCGGCCTCCGGCCGAAAATGTGTCGATCTACGGCCGACGCTAAAACAACCTGCCGCGAGAGAGAAAAGCTTCAATCTGCAACACAGAGTATTTTAAACGAATAAACATCAAGATTAAGGAGTCATATTGGGCTATTTACAGTTGACACGTTTTGCAGGAGGGGAACAAAAATTAAGGTAAGTCGCTTAGTTTCATCCTTAATCAATTGAAATTGTCTTACTTTCTTCCCTATGGTGGGGAAAAAGTATGATTATGCTAGCAATGCAACTACTTTTTTGTTGCGGCCATTCTCGGTGCCACGAATTGGTTTAGGTAACAGAACAAGGCTATTAAGGTTTTTTTTAAAATTAGATTCCTTTAAAAATATCTCTGTCAGGGAGAAATGTCCACAGAGCAAACTCACATACATTTTTTTGGAGCATTTGAAGACTATCAGAACATAAGTTACCAAATTAACAATAGTCAACCCATGAAACGGAACTTGTATATTTTTCACATATCATTGCATAATAATCAATTAGTAACAGAGAAACATCATTTGCATTCTTGCCGGCGAAGTCCAAAGGGATTAATCTGACGATTTTCTAGTTGTAAATTATATACTAGACAATTTTTCTAAATCTAAATAATTTGCGACCTTTAACTATGGGCAGAGTTACGAAAAAAGATCCATTTCTTGAAAATATTTGTACCAGTGTAATAGCGTAACAGTTACGGTGACTTTATAAAAACACTGAAGATATTAACGAAGCCAGTGATTATGTCGTGAAAGACGCTGAGAAAAATATGAAGCTTATTTTACTTTCTTGGGACCTGAAAGTAAACTGTCAAAGTGCTGGGAGGTACAGTTCCTAACAATACATCCGCAAATGTCATATTTCAACACCAGAAACAAGGTCTTATTTTCAAACCTTTCTCTCTGAAGTTAAAAGAATAATATGGTCGAGTTTGCAGCGACAATATCGGAGGACTTTAACCACGAAAGCGCTGCCTGGCGTTAATTACCTTAGGCAGTTGTCGTTGAAATGTTCAGGCTCTACGTTCGGCTTAAAAAAAAAAACAAAACAAAACGAAAAGCACTCTGAAAAGGCAAAACAAAATGAGTATTGAACTTAAGGCAAGCTGGGTGCATAAGGTCGTCATAGGAAGTTATAGTATACAATAGAATATCACGCGAAGATAAGAAATATTGTCATCCTAAACGAACGCAAACATAAACGTTTAAGAATGTACTGAAAGTATGGGGTTTTCGTTGCTGCGGAAGCTTTCCTACGGGGCAAAGAATTCTTTTCCTAAAGTTACCTTACCATCATACGCTAGTAACAACATATGTCCTATCTCTGGGCAGACAATCTAAAAAACCCGTTAGCAGTTGTTATAATACGCTACCTTCGTGCGAAGTGTTACTTTGCTTAAAGGGGCTGTGACACGAAATTGATCAAAATCGAAACAGAGGGAACTGCTACCGAACTAAGTGAAACATACTAATAACTGCTCAAAACGCGAAAAGGAGCCATATAAATCATAGAGGAAATACAAACAGAGAAATGGATGGACAATCTTTAAGAATCGTGGTTTTTGATAACTTATTAGCCTAAAAGTTTTTCAAAGGTCATTTTCTTTGCCTGTTAACGTTTGATATAAATGCTTGGGAAACATTTGTTTGACAAGATTCCGTGATTTTGTCTTTCAAAAGTAATTTCTCATGTTCCATAGCGAAAAAGGAGGTGCATTGGCAATATTAACAAAATGAACTATGGACAGCCGTGACACGGCCCCCTTAACTTTTGTTTTTCTGCAAGACTTGTGCAGGCTACCTCGGTTTTTTACGTCACCCTCTCACACCAAGCCCCCTCGACCATGTCTGCCGTCGTAGGAACTCGCCCCTTTTTCGTATCTTGAGATGTCTCTTGTGAGCATCAATTGTGCATGTGATAGCTTGGATACGACTGGCTGAGCCAAACCTATCGACGTGAGAGGATCACGTGCTTGAAGTGACCCATAAAAGGAACATTGGATTTAACGTGGGACCATGGTCATCACGTGCACATTTCATTTCATATTAGACTGAGCTGCAGTGTAGGTGGGAGTTCTTGAATCCGGGTGAACGAAGTGTAGCACAGCACAAAACTCTTGCGCCTGGTTGAACAGTATATTATAAATTTAAAAAACAAATGCCTGTGCGTAGAAATTAAACACTGGTGCCGGAAAAAAAGTAAAGTACTTTCAAGTACTGCCTTATTGTTGAGATGATTAACGGGCTTCCAGTGTCCGAAAACCAATATTTCATGCATCATAAGTGTTCGTGATTCAAAAACATAGCATAAACAACTGAAATAACAACACACATGGTTGTAAATACAGTGTGAAAGGAAAGCAGGAAGCCAAAGATCTTAAATGTCAAAAAGTACACGGGTATTCATTGCAGGTGAAAAATAGGTAGTTAGAAGCAATGGAATCAGCGGCTTTATTTTCCTTCAAAAAGGGAACCTTCGCTGCCAAAAACTGGCAAGAGTTTTCCCTTCACGTTTTTTGGTATTACTGTTTAAAGGGGTTGTGCCACGATACTAGCTTATATTGTTTAATGCCAATTCAGAGCCATAGCATGGGGAGGCCGGGGGGAGGGGGGGAGGGGGGTGTGGACCCCTCAATAATTTTGACAGGCACATTTAATTTGGTCAGCGGCCACGCCCTTCACGATGCAAAGTACACTTCTTAAATGGAAATTAATGCTCTCGGAAGGCTGAAAATGCTATTTCAGAGACCCTTTATTTCAGAACCTTACGGGCGAGCATGCCACCGGAAAGGCGCTCGCGATTGCTGACAAACTGAAAAGAAGCCGAAAATTTAACTGACTACTTACATTTGCCTTGGGTTTTACTGTCAACTGATAAAGGACCTGATTGTCCCTTATTTTCTACAAAACCCGTTTTTAAGGCCTTAAATAGTATTGTTCCACTTTTTTCATCAGACAGTGTGATCAAATGGGTGTTTTTAGAGGTAATCTTAGCAGTAAGACGCTTAAGTTTCCTATTTCGTTAATGATTTTACTGTAAAACCCATGTGTGTCATGTACCATCTGTCGTAAATGACCTATGATTTCAAAATTACGCTCCTCTGAGAACGCGCCAGCATACAATGGCTGGTCAGAATGAGGGCGTTACACAGGCAATTGGCAGGTTTTTACTGAGATGATTCAGAGACGGTTTTTCTTGGTATTCTTACGATCTACGTCTCAATATTATACCTGCTAACTTTTTCTGAGTCAAATGCGTGAGATTTTCACCTTGTCATGACGGAGATTTCCGTAAACGTCCCGGCGACTTCCGAAGATTTCGACGAATTTCCGAAGACATCCGAACGTTGCCAAGAATTGAATGTCCGCAGATGTTCCCGAAGGCGTTTGAGCACTTCCGAAGCTACTTAAAAGACGACACTTTTAGCGTGCTTTGATATGATTTCGTTGTGAGTCAGGCGTGAGAAATTGTCCTTGATGCGTCATATCGATGTCTTTAGTCCACAGGCGTAAGACTCACGCATAATGCATATACAATATTCTGAAGGTATAAATTTTGATTGGCTTAATGGTTGGCAATATTAGGCACCGGCCAGCAAAAACTTTCGAGTGGAGGGGAGTAAAAAGGAGGGCCAACTGAAATGCTTACAACATGTACAATGGCAAAACTGATAAAAATTAAGGTAATATGGCATCAGTTTTCGAATTAAATGTTTAATTTACATTATATGTGCCTTTTAAGCCAAATTTCGCGTCAATAAATGTAAAAATAAGTTTCATAGTTAATCATTTCTAACCATTTAACTGACAACTGACAAAAAGCCTAAAATTTATAATTAACTGACAACTGACAAATGGCCGAAATTTTAACTGACAACTGACATTTGTATTCCCCCATCCAGACCCTCTTACATGTACTTATTCGCCGTGGGAACTTGAGAAATTACACGTGAGTGACAATAGCTGCCTTCCTTGACGACCAAATAGTTTTCAAAAACTACAATTGTCATATTATTTCAATCTTCTTCACGTTTGTATGGTGTGGGGCAAGTACAAACGTCTGTAAACTTTCGCCACTTTGCATTGTGGAGCAATATCGTCGCAGACTCTCTTTGGACGTATCACCTTAATTTAAACTTGGTACGTTACCTTATTTTAAGGCCCTCTTCCCAACAATGTAGATGGATATTTGCTTACTGCTTAGCCTGCGTAGCCTGTCTCCCTCTCGCGTGCCCGTTCTCTCTGTCGCCCACTACGTCCGAGCGCCTGCAACGCAGGCTACTTACTGCTCTTTATCAAAATTTGATAAAAAAAATGTGGAAAATTACTGGGTAGGCATGTTTTGTAAAAATGAGGTAGATATATTAAGGGTCTTTAACAAAATGGATGTCAGGCAATCAGACAGAAAATTGCACAGAATTTCTACGAAGTATAGGCGCATCTTTCTTTACACTTTTTGCCCTATGCTTATCAGTATCTGATGATGCTAATAAAATAAAAACTCTGAATGTTGAAAGGGCATAACAGTTTCAGTTACCTCTGAAAATTTGAGCCCAATACACCGAATGGCTTGGGGTATGTGTCATTAACTTTTTTGCCATACAGCAATTTCGCAGTTTTTGATGACTGAAATTTCCTTCAATATTGCTTGCAAGGAGCTGAAAATTGCACAAATTGCTCAACTTAATCAGCTCTTTCAACTTTTGCATTTAGTTTGTACACAGTATACGGCCACGGCTTTCATGAGTTAAGTCGTATGCTAATGAGGGAAAATGTAAACAATGACGTCAGCAAAGATTCGCCTATAGAATGCTTTGTACTAACCTCCTGAAAGTATTTCTCGTCTCATTAAAATTTAGGAAAGCGAGAGTGGCTTCGCAGTCAAGCGTATACATGAAAATTTTTCCGATGTCGAATTCAGGCGGCGATTTCACTCTATGCCCAAGCGAGCAAAACTACGGCAGTCATCTATTTCTCTCTTTCCATCTTACGCCCCCTCCCCCTCCGGCCATGCACCTAACCCACCCCCATCTTGGCGAGCTCATTTTTATCAGGAAGCAAATATGAAAGATAGAGCTGAACATTGCCTGCAGTGCATTCAGCAGTTTTTTATATCCTACGTTTGTCTTTCAGCAAAACCAATTGACAATATGTTAAGGTACGTTAATGGTGATAAGCAGTACCAATTCCATGATCTCACCGTGGACGTGGAACCTGGGCACGTTTACAGCAAGACTGGTCAGCTGAGATTTCGCACGTGGACAAACAAGGGCAAGATAATCAGGTTACACAGCTTTATCCCTACTACAGTAATCACAATGAGGGAGCGATATCGGCTCCTGTTATAATGCAGTGTAATACAAGGCACTATGAATAATGCAATGTATTACGATATAATACACCTTAATACAATGCTTTACCATTCAAGGCAATGCAATAGAGTGTTTTCACTCACGTGGCCAGTATCTATGCAAATTTATTGGAACAAAAGAAAGCGTTTGCATAAGAAAAAAGTTCAACTCCCAGAGGATTGCTATGGAATACCAACATGGCCGCCGTTTCATTGTTTTGGACACTAATATGGCCGCCGTGACGTCATGTGAGAACACTTTATACAATAGGCATTTCCACGATGGCGTCATTTTACTACTACGACCAGAATCCTTTTCGTTTTTCCTTTCATATTTAAATTTTGTAATCCCAGTGAGGTTTGAATAACAAAAGCCCTAATTATCGTGCAAATGGCCTATTCAATGCGATACAACACACGTCAAGGCAATAATTAACAATGAAATATGGGCAAGCGAAGGTTAATAAGTTTACCCACAAGTATGAGCTGCAATAATAGAGTTATATCAAAATCACCTGCACAAAAAAGGAGGATGTAAAAGGACCACAAATTTGTCCAATGATATTCTTATACATGGAATGTTGTCAATATACTGATCTTGAAATAGAATGAAAAAGATAAGCATTTTTTGAGTTAGCACTTTTACCAGTCAGGACGTAAAAGTTACCTTTGTGAAACTTTTAGGACAATGATAACGTTAACGTTTCTCAATGATCAGCAATTTAACGACTGGCTACCGATTTCTCTGCCATCGATCAAACAATTGATTACAAGGTTAACTCCTTGCGACCTGCTCAAACAACAAATACTGCTCTTTTTTGTTACTGCAGACCGCATTCATATACCTCCATTCTTTTGACCCCATCTTATCGAGTAACAGAGCGAGAAACAGTTCAAGGTGTCGCCAAAGCGGCTGTAAGAGATTTTGCCAGGCTTGTCCAGGAAGGCGTCTGTAAAGAAGGTCAAATACTTCTTCTGATGGCTGACGGAACACACAAAAATAAATCCAACACAAGTATGACAGGACCTTGGTTTCTGGATTACCAGAATGAGGAAGAAATCGTGTCACTAATAAAAAGGTATGGTTACAGCCTGTAGCAGAGGCCGGGGTGCAGTTTTACCTTTTGTACTGGTAGGGATGTGTCATCTTAAGCGATGCAAACGCCTGTTTCACTTTCCCTCCTCATTCTACTAGAACTTGAAGAGTAATAGAACGTTTTCGACTCATTTTCAAAACGAGTTCAACTGGAACACTTTTCTTTTGAAAATGAGTTTTATTTGCATGAGAGTAAAAATTCCTTCTCACAGCAATAACTTCGAACTTAACCTCACTTTCAAACAGAATCTTGGGCCAACTCGAAATTGGTGCCTTTTGCGGAGTAGAGTAATTGTTACTTGCAAACAATTAAGATCCTTCTAACCGGTGGAAACTTGGAAATTTTCTTCAAAACGTCTATTATGAATAGTAACTGGAAGTTGGCTGCGTCCTGAGATTTACGTTTTCTTTCGCTTGTTTGTTACTCTGCTTGTAGATATAAGATGGACTTTGCAACTGTGGTTACCGAGGACAGCGACATTTTCACCTCGTGTCCTGGAAAGACAGACGTCCGAGGAAAAGGATCACAGTTTGAGGCGGCTTTTAATTTTATTTGTCATTATGCTATTCCGTATGATGACAAAGACAAGACTCACGTTGTCTGCATTGATTCTGATTTAAAAGGTAAGGCAAATTATCGAAACATGAAGTGTAATAAGAACAACACCATAAAGAGTACCTCAATGCATGCTAATCAAATCTCTCTTTCTTGCCATCGACTAAAGCTATCCCCAAGATCTTTTCAACTACGTTTTTAAAGAGAATAAAATTACTATGAGGTGAAAATGAATTTCAAAGGCGCTCTGTTTCTACAGATAACGGCCAAACATCAAGATTTATCCAGTTTTTACTAGACCTTAAACCGTTCAAATTCCATCCCAAAATAGCCTGAGAAAACAGCCAACATTTGGCAACGCTACCACTGGTTTCCCCGCCAAATGACGTCTGAAAAACGAGCGCAGAAATTCCATACTGATGACGCGTAACTACCTAGATCTGGGTAGTGCTTCTGATTGGTTGAATCAAATTCCCACGCGGCACGACCAATCAGGAGCACTACCCAGATCTGGGTAGAGACGCGTCATCAGAATGGAATTTCTGCGCTCGTTTCTCAGACGTCATTTGGCGGGGAAACTAGTGTTAGCGTCGGCAAATGTCGGCTGTTTTCTCGGCTAATCCCAAAATATCTCAATAACACTCTCATAGATTTCACTCAAACTTAAGGAACACCAAGTGAGCTACTGAAGGAAAAAGCTCCCATAAACGATTTTAGAAAGAAAAAAAACCTTCCACTGCCGAGAAATACGGCCACAAATTAAATAGTTAATGAAGTCATTTCCTTGCTATGACAACTACGATGTCACTGTAACATATAACAAATTTCCATCTTTATCTAAATGAATACAATTGTGGTTTTCATTTCGCCAAATCTTTGTCAATGGCGACGTTAATGCTCAAACTTGGCAGGTATTGCCCTAAAAAAAAAAGCCTATAGAACCACCTTAAACATATTTTGAGTTCTCGGCTTTTTCTTCCTCAGCCACTTATGCATTTTTAAAATTATTTTCACAGGTACAGATGGTTTCGTTTATCGTATGTTTCTTGGATTGAACAAGGGCTATTCTTACCTTGCTCCATTTTACTGGCGACATAAGTACGAAGGCAGGCTCACCAATCATCTCATGTTTCCTCTATATTCATCTCTTACTCGCTATGTTCTCAGACAACCAATTGGCGGAGAATTTGCATTCAATGGAAGCATGCTTGTTCGGTTCACAAACCCTACGATCTGGACCAAAAGTTGGAGAGATTTTGGTATCGACGCAGCGATGAGTGTAACGGCAGCAAGAAGTGGGGATTCCATAGGGCAGCTTCATCTTCCAAGGAAGATCAACTACGTTGGAGACGACGCTAGGAGGCAAATCGGTGACATGTTTGTTCAGTGTGGAAGAAGTCTCTTCAATGGCTTGATAGACATGTTGGACTCAACACCCTTCTGGGCAGAAAGCGAAGTAACAATGGCGCCAGTTGTTGACACAGAAGCCGTTCACAATACCAACTTAAAAGTTGAGCTGTCGGAGAATGCTGAGATTATCGCTGCTCTTCACTCGTTCTTGACTCTACAAATGGGGCCTGCCTTTCAGCGCAACAATGAGACGATCCTAGGTGATTGTTTATCTGATCGTATCAAAGCGACCTTTGAAGAATTCAAGGGTAATGGCCTGTGCAGTGTGCTAGCATGGAACAAACCCAAAGAAATGCCTCGGGACGAACAAGCCAAAGTGATCGATCAGTTGCAGAGCATAAAGAGCAAATATTTCCTCAGTTCCGATGAATGGGCGCAAATAGTTCTCAGATGTTTGAAGGAGTTCCAAGTCAGGCGAAGTGACAACGAGCAGCAAGCTTGCCATACAGTTATCAGAGGGGTGCTTTTGTGCGTGTTTTACTTGAGGGTGCTAAGCTTTAACATCGAGACTTCCGGTCTGCCAACGTATCCCGATGCCGAAGAACTGGTTATGCAACAAATGGAAGTGTTTTCACGATTGGCATTAGCATATTTTCAAGAAAACAATAACGATCAAGAGACGCTTTCGAATGGAACACTGAACGATTAACCAATTGATTTTCAGCGGATGAAATGAAGAACGCTGGGACAAAACACGAATTTGGTCATCAAAGCAGTTACGACATACTATGCCTTTAATGGCTTCAACTCGTTTTCTCCATCAAATTGGCACGTAAAGAGATACCAAATGTCAAATTATGACGTCATATTTGTTAACGTCATTCATTCGTAAATTTCTAACTGTTGAATCGCCCAATTCTTTTCAACTTTTTTCAAAAACGTTGAAAGGGGAATTGAACGCTGAAAATAGTTTCTATTATCTCAAACATTAGCTGAGACTAACGACATTTTCAACTGGAAAAATCTGTAGCAAAAAAAGGGGAACCCCACGTGTAATGGGCCTAAATTTAGGAGTTTTATCGTCGTGTCGGGATTGCCATTTAACCCTTTCGAGACCGGTTTAGTCGCTTTCGTTTCTTCTGGAACGATGCAGATTATGCTTTTCTGGTTTATGAAGACACATTACCGTTGACTTAACCTAACCGAAGATTTCTCTGACACTGACATTACAAGGAACTCTCAATGACACAAAATTAGGGGCGTTTAATTCACCACTCTACCCAAGCTGGCCATAACTTAACTACATCCAACAGTAAGTCAAAGGGGAAATTTTCTATCAATTTATTGACATATCTACAACTGCAGGGTATAAATTTATTTCCAGCAATTCGGGAGAGTTAACGCTTAAGTTACAATACCACTAGTAGACTTCAAGTAGATCACAGATGTAATATACTGTGACCTATTAGAGAAAAAGGGCTTTAAATGGAATAAAAACCGCGAAAAATCTTTACAAGCTTGGACATGCAGCAACCTTTCTGAAAGTGACTTAAACTATAATGTTGCTGAAACGTAAATCAGTTAGCTCCCAGTTTTCGGTTATCTGGGGTGCTTACCAGTTCCGCAAACCAACCAATGGAAATTACTAACTTGTAATTAATATTCGCTTATATCAAGTAAGACGACATGCAGACTGGTTTTGACAAAAGCACGACTGGTCCCGGTTGTTCAATCGCTGGATAGCGCTATCTAGGGGATAATCAATATCCAGCAGATAAGCATTAGGAAAATCAATTGCGTTATCCAGTGGATAGCGCTATCCACTTTTTGAACAACTGGGGCCAGGTGAGCTACATGTCAAACACAAAAAGAGTGCTTCATCCAGTTATCCGAAAACCGAAATGTGGTATAAAAAGGCTGCAGCCAATTAATACTAGGGAAAACTTCGTAAAACATGGCTAAATACTGCTAAATTAGTATTTTTTTCTCTCTTGAAGTAATTCACAGCAAGAGGTCCACAAAATTCTTTGTCATAAGACTGCTGCCTAAACCATCACCGCGATAGGGACTTTCTTTCACCCCTCTGTGTGAATCATTAGTGAGTTTACGAAACAGGACGGCAGGAAGAAGAGGACGGCAAAACGCTTGTGTGTGACAAACGTGACAGGTCAATTTTTGGCGAGTTTTGTCGTGATCTTCACTTATCATAAATATTTTAAGGAAGGTGAAGTTTAGCGAAAAGATATTTCAAACAAAATTTTTGTCAAGCTCGACACACAAGGTTTGCCGTTTTCTTTCCTCTCCTGTCCTGTTGCTTAAGTTCACTATTAACGAGTAGGGGAACTTCAGGGAAGCGCTTGGACCTCCCTCCGGCCCAATCTCCCTTTACTTGACATCCAGCAAATTGGGACCCTGAGTCAAGTATCGGCCAGTGTTTAACAAAACTGCAAGCTGAGGCATTTTAAATTTAATCATAATATTCAATATATGTTTAAGATGATCAGCTTCAATATGGCACATCCTGCAGACTAAAAACTATCATCTACCTAAAATATACCACTTAAAAATAATTTTGGAGCTTTACTGTTTGTTTTAAGCCGCGGCCTAAGCTTAATCATCTCTTTAGAATAACCGACCCTTTGAGTTAACTAAAATGACATAGTAACTTTGCCTCAAATTGACAAAGATACTAATATTACAGTGCAATGATATGGGAAAGCTTATCATTGTTACCTCCTCACATGTCAAAATTTTCTAAAGTTTGAGGGAAATTGAGAGGCTTATTTGAATACCGTGGCTATGCTATACTGTGTGCTGTGTTGAAACTCATTGAAATTTTCCTCAGTAAAGCAGATCCTTCCCTGCAAAATAACATTAAAATGTTCAAGTTGTTTTTGACCTGAAATTATTCCGTAAGAAAATAACAAAAAAAAACAAACAAACAAAACAGTAACGCAGTGTTGTATGTACTTTTTGTTTCTTTCTTCAGAATACGAACACCTTGCCAATAAAAATAAGCTTTGCTGTAAGGAGTTTAGAAAAGTCGTCCTAAATTAAGTTGTTTTTTTCCCACACTGGCAAGCGCCCAGACTTGTGAGCGACCGCTCTCCAGATAACCGACCACATCCATAGCGATCGTCTTTCGCGAGGAACCACTATTTAAAGGGACCACACCCGTAGGCGACGAGTCTCATAAGCCATCGCCTTTCGTTAGACCCTTGTTTGATTCCGATTTGCTTTGCTGTGAGTGTCGAGTTGGTTTTTTTTTGCGAGTTCTCCTACGTGTGATTTTTTTTAACGTTTTTCCTAAAAGTATCGTGTTGTTTCGGCGAGCCACAGATTTCACCATTCACCACTACAAAGCTATTTTCTGTCTTCTGTTTCGTTCTCGCATCAGAACATACGGCTCTCTGTCTATCCCCTCCTATGTGATAAGACCCCACCTCCCCCCCTCCCCCAAAAAAGGACGCCATAGATCGT